GAAAGAATTGTGAATACATGAATAGTACTGTAAACATGATTAACTATGATAAAAATGATTATATTGATATCATGAATCGAGTGATGTTAGTTGACTAGTGGAAACCTGGAAGTATTATTTTTGACAGGCTTATTTTCCTAGTATGAGGCTGATTATTAGTAGTATGAAAGCACGACTGCTCAAGCGTGTATTGAACCACAGAACTTTGGTCTCATGCACGAACGTCTAACCTCTTGACTATTGAGTTGACATCCAATAGTGTTGAAGATTTCTTCACAAAGCACTGAACAGCCGTATCGTCCTGGTATGGGACTTAGCACTGGCAGTGTGCATTCATGGGATTCGAACCCAGGACCTTCGGTTTTGCACACGAACACCTAATCTCCTGACTACTGAGACGGTATCCCGCCCTATTAATGTCTAATTCTGATCAATCTAGGGATTTTGCACGACCTCACTCATTTGTGTTCGGTAGTTACTGCCCACACCCGACAGAGTTGAACTCAACTATTCACGTCTTCCTATAAGAACTGTGAGAATTTCCTCACAAAGCTAGTCACTAGTAAGATTTTTCATTATAGAGTTATGAAGATCATTATTTTTACAGACTAAAATCATGAATCAATCAATTTAATCACGTGATTGATTACATCAAGGCAGTGCGTCAGATTATTTTATATTTTGTCTTGTGAATATGTAAAAGAAAAACTTTTATTGTACTCTTAATTAGAAATTTACTATACACACACATAAAATGCCTAGATGTTGTTACAATGATACATCACAATGGTTATTGAGAGAAATTTTAAATTTAATATTATGATCAATGGTAATACAATTTATTGTCGGTTTTCTGACAGCGGAATCGTCTTTCAAAGCGATAAAAAAAGATAATTGACGTTTTACTTGTGAAAGTAACCATGAAATTAAGTTGTACAACACAGTTAGGCGTCAGTATAGTTAATACTTACTTATGCTAATGAAACATAGGCTGCTGACGAGCAGTTTTCAGCCGACTCTGGTTTGTTCTGTCCCAGAGTAGATTGTTTCCGATGGTTTCTGATCAACAGATCTAAAGTATTTTGCATAGACAACTGTTAATAAATACTCGTATCTTGTGGATGATGGCTTTGGTAGTTCTTCAAATTTCCGCCCCATACAGTAGAACTGCATTAACAGTTGTCTACGCAAAATGCTTCGGATTCGTTGGCCAGACACGACCAGCGACAACGCACTGTGGGAGAAAACAAACCAGATTCCAATGGAGGAGGAAATGAGGAAGAAGCGATGGAAGTGGATAGGACACACATTGCGGAAAGCACCTAACTGCATCACGAGAGAAGCCCTCACATGGAACCCTCAAGGCAAAAGGAAAAGAGGAAGGCCAAAGAACACATTACGCCGAGAAATAGAGAAAGATATGAGAGGAATGAACAAACACTGGACAGAACTGGAGAAGGAAGCCCAGGACAGAGTTGGTTGGAGAAAACTGGTTTGCGGCCTATGCTCCATTGTGGGTAACATGCGTAAGTAAGTAAGTAAGTACAGTAGAACTGTCTTGACTTATGTATAGACATATGTAGATATCGGCCCGTCCCAGGTACTTCAGTTTCCGTAACCTATAAGGACCAGTCATCTGTGCGGATAGAAAAAATGTCACAAAAATCTGATTACACAAACTCGAGCTTTATACTCTTCACTAGTATTTTTTTATTGTTCAGAGTGTTTCATTTTATTGAATTTGCCTCAACAAACGCACATCTGTTATTACGCAAATCACATACGTTGGATTACGTCAATTCAGGATTCGAATTGCTGATATTTTTAATTACGATTTATATAATATTCAACTTTTTATGGTCACGATTACTCACAAATTAGGAATCAAAAGTCTTCCGTATATATATACATAGAATAACGTACAACTATGTACTATGTACCCATTCGTCCATTTATGTTAGCCATTTTAATAATCAGTGGGTGCTCTGAAATATATGTTCAAAATCATTACTAGGCAGTTTAGAAAACGTTTTCTAGAAATGTAAACGTTTGGAAAAATTCCAATGCATTTTACAATCCGAACAGACATCTTTAGTAGGAAGCAGTGGAATTGGCAGCCAACAGTCAAGTATACTGATCAGTGAGGCGAATACTTTCCTATCCTGTTATTGAACTAATCAACGAAATCTATTCAAATATTTATTGTTCTGTTCGGTTACATCCTCTGTTCTCATTCATTTCCTATTCAATTTATTTTTGTGTATCGATTGATACTACTTATTAATAGTTAGTAGACAATTGTCCTTTAAATAATTTCTAAGCGTTTGGTGTCATACATGTTTGTTTGTTGTGTAAGATTGAATTGTATTGATGAGTATAGCTGCTTTCTGTGAAGCGCGTTAGATATTCAATTAAGGGCAACAGCTATCATTTGTGTGCGCCTTTTACTTGATTGATTTACAAACCCGTTGATCGCTGTGGATAACTTAAGAGTTGAGGTTTGTAATCGATTTATATTACTTACTTATACCCTTTATCCCAGATGGAGTGTAATCCGCCGACCAGTATTCTCCAGCCAACTCTGTCCACCACCTACTTTCTCAGTTCAATCCAATAGTTGTTCATTCTTCTTATATCTTTCTCCATTTGTCGGCGTAATGTGTTCCTTGAACTTTCTCTGCTTCTTTGACCCTGAGGATTCCCAATGGGAGCTTATTTTGTGACTCAGTTAGGTGCTTTCCATAATATGTGTCCTATCCAGCGCTTCTTCTTGATTTCTTCTGCCTCTGGAATTTGGTTGCTCCTGGTATTGTCTAGTCAACGGACCCGAAGTATTTTGATGCTGATGTAAAGAAATTGGCTAGTAAAGCACAGAAAGTATTTCTAGATTTGATGAACATCTGAAACTCACATTCTATCAACCAACAACAAAGTCACAATTTTTAATACTAATGTCAAAACAGTTCTATTGTATGGAAAGAAAGCTTTGAGAACCACAAAAACCATCATACACAAGATACAATTGTTTATTAAAAATTATGAACAAGATTCTACACATCCGTTGGCCAAACACCGCCATCAGGAACGATCTAACAAAGGAGAGAATAAACCAGATTTCAGTTGAGGAGGAAATTAGGAAGAAGGTTGGAAATCACCAAATTGTATCACAAGGCAAGCTGTAACTTGGAACCCCCGAGGGTGAAACGAGGAGAAGTACGAGGTTCACAATGAAATATTCATTTTTCATCGATTCTCTATTTTCGATCATGTGTCCAGGTAAATGACACACAACAGAACTGCCAAGATTGTTTTGTCTACAGGCATGTGTAATTTTGATAAGATACTCAAAAATTCATGTTATTTATTTCCTACACTGAAGCTATGGAAGTTTAAGTGTTATCTGTAACAGGTTTTCAAATACAAATGCCAAGACAGTTCTACTGTATGGGGCGAAAACTTTGAAAACTGCCAAAGCCATTATACACAAGATACAAGTGTTCAATAACAGTTGTCTAAGTAGAGTCGTCAGAATCACTTGGCCAGACACCATCGTAAACAATCTACTGTGGGAGAGAACAAAACAGATTCCAGTAAAGGAAGAAATCAGGAAGAAGGGCTGGATGTGGATAAGACATACATTTTGGAAGACACCCGATTGCGTTACCAGACAAGCCCTCATTTGGAATCCCCAAGGTCAAAGGAAAAGTAGGAGACCAAAGAACAAATTACGCCGACAAATGGAGACAGACGTGA